CCGATCAGCTGGGACTCAGGAAGCACAGAATAGATGGGGGCAGGGCCAGCCAGAGGTGGTATTTACAGGTTCTCCGAACTACTCAAAGTTTCCACTACCGGTTCTCCAAAACTGGTTAGAACCTGCTGGATACCACCTCTGAAAGGGACCCATGAAGAGCGATGGTTCTCTCAGGCTCAAAGCTGCCCCACAGTAGGATCGAGACTGGCCTAGGCAGACAAGGCAACTCTGACTTTTACCAGTTCCAACGATAAAGAATCTCTTACTTCTCTTCTGTCTTGGGGGGCTCTTCTTGGGGGGTCTCCTCCACAATCGGGATCTCTTCTGCTGGTTTTTCCTCCTGCAAGACAATTGGAACCTCGTCCACCTTCTCCTCTTTCTGGACCTGCTGTTGCAACCTCGGGGGCACCTGCTGCTGTTGCTGCTGCTGCTGCTGTGGTGGCTGCTTCTGCTGCGCGGGGGGCATCTGGGGCTGTTGGGGAGGCTGCTTCTGCTGCCCCTGAGGAGGCATTTTTTGCTGCAAGGGCTGCTGCTGCTTCTGTTGCACTGACGGCATCTGTTGTTGGGCCTGTTGCGGTGGTTTCTGTGGTGGAGGCTGGGCTTGGACCTGTTGGGGCGGCTTCTGCTGGAGCTGGGGCTGTTGGGCCTGCTGGGGTGGCTTCTGCTGGGATAGAGCAAATTGTATGGGTGGCTGGGCCTGTGGGGCCTTCGGCTGGGGTTCTGGTTGCTGCAGAGAAGCCTCCTTGGGGTAAGATTCCTGGCCGGCGTCGGGCGCCTTGTCCTCGGGATAGTACTCTTCGTTCTCATTGTACTCTTCGTTGAACTCATCCTCCTCCAGGTAGAAGTCATCCTCTTCTTCGTCCCAGTGCGGGGAGTCCTTGTGATAGCTCACGGAGCTGTGGCAAGAGTGGTAGGAGTCTCCGTCCCGCTCATCCAGGCTGACATCATCGGGGTCAAATTCGTCACTCAGCTGCGAACTACCCTGGCTCAGCTCATCCGAGGAGGCATAGCGGCTGCTCCCAGTGGGGCTGTAGGGATGGGAAGGGGTTGAGGAGGGGGTTGCAGAGACAGAGGCAGAAGCCGAAGAGAAAAAAAAGGGGGGGGGTTATTTCAGTTAGACTTATATACCGCTTCATAGGGCTTTCAGCCCTCTCTAAGCGGTTTACAGAGTCAGCATATCGCCCCCACA